CTATGTTGTGATTTCCATTCTAGCAGTCATTCCCCCCCACAGCACACACGTAATGCAGCGAAGGAGTGTCATTAAAATTCCTCCTTCAGATCTCTGCAGCCAAGAAGAAGCTGGATTCCTAGAGGGACTGTGTGTGCTAGGACTTGGTACAAGCTCAGAAAAGCAAGGGAGGGAATAGCAGCCTTGTATTTTGTGGTCTGAATAAAACCACATATTATTGATTTATCACACGATTTATGATTCCAATTAAATGGCTATGCTTGGACTGAGTGTCTGTATTCAGCCATCCTAGAAGCTACGCATTTGAAGCAAGCTCTGCAAACGTTAACCAAATTTTTCCCCTCTCCTTGTATGTATTTAATACCTATTAAATCACTCCAACGCTGTTTAACGCAGAGTCAACATCCTCACCTGGACCTGCAGTGCCAGTGTGTGGTGGGGGAAGGGAGGGGGGGGGGTTCAGCAAGGGGAAAGGAAATAGGTCAGTTCCTTTATTTGAAAGCAGACAGATGTTCAACTGGATCCTTCTAGACCACTGCATCACAATGAAGGACAAGCTACCCACAGAGCACAATACACACCAGGGCTGGAAAAGGCTTCGGTTTTAAAAAAAGTAGGCAGGATTTATTTTTAAATGGGAGGCACCATGGCGGGGGGGGAGGAACTGTTTCCAGAAAAGGTCTCTCTCCCTTCACTTTGCCTCCGGAGCGCCAGTTGTTTTTTGGCTGTGGCAAATCCTGGAAAAGGGGTGGGGGGATTGTTCTATGGGAGGACAGGGCTGGACAGCATGCTGACATAATCCAGTTTGGTGAAGCAATGGCTGAAGTGGGGAGGGGAGGGACTGGCTTTCAGGGCTGGGCAGAGGGCAAAGAACAAAGCACTCAGCACGCAGGGCAGCTCCTCCCCTGCCAGCCCACGGGGCTGAGGCGGGCTCAACTTGGAGACTTCAGCTGAAACAGTGCCTTCGGTCTGGGGGAGAGGCACCGACTCCTCCCCCTTCGCCCCCCCCACCCCCCACTGACTCCTCCATGCATGACCCAGCTGCAGCGCACTAAGGAATACATTGCAGGAGGGGCATATTGGAAAGAACAGGGATTGTAAACTAGGGGGCTGGTCCAGCAGCCAGGCAAGGAAAGCAAACTCCACGCCCAGTCCTTTGTAAGGCCTCTTCCTCAGGGCGCTGTGTACGGGTTATTACAAGCCTCACAAACAAGAACCAAATGAAGTCGCTAGTTCTAATTGCCACAGAAATTGGTCCAATAAAAGATATTACCTCAGCCACCTTGTCTCTCTAATATCCTGGGACCCACACGGCTACAACTACACTGCATGCTAATCCCCACAGGCATTTCTGGCCTCTACCAGCAAAGGGGGCAGGGGGAACTCCCCTTCCCACTGCCCGCAGCTTCCTCTTCCTTATGTATCCCACCCTGAAGAAGAGCTGCGTGTGGCTGGAAAGCTCGTCTCTTTCACCAACAGAAGTTGGTCCAATAAAGATATTACCTCACCTACCTTGTCTCAGTCAAATGATGGTTAAGAGATCTCTTAACCCTTTTCAGACTGCAACTTTACTTTACTAACAGCACCTAGCTCTTATACAAGGTGTTTCATTTTAGCTCTCAAAACAAAGGGGGTTTGGATCATTATCCCCATTTTATAGATGGGGAAACCGAGGCACGGAGAGGTGAAATGACTTAACCAAGGTCACCCAGCAGGCCAGTGGCAAAGCTCGGAATAACCTAGGTCTACTGAGTCCCAATACAGTGCCTGATCCACTAGGCCACACTTTTGTGGCAGTGATATTTTATACTTGTAAAATGCAGGTTGTATAAACTGTGTCTGCAGATTTACCTGTCTCTCCCTTTATCTGTTAGTTTCCACACCTTTAAACGCATGGGGTTTGGTTCAGTTTAAACTGTAACAATCCTTGGGGACATCCAACGTTTTCACCACGGCGGGGTTTTGTTTGATTGGGTGACTTTCCAGGATGGCTTTGCTTTGAAGAGAACACTGTGCAGCGCTGTATTGGTTTTCTCCTAAGCAGGGTGGGATGAAGCCTGCAGTGGTTGCCGAAGGCCGTAGCGGAGATCTGGGCGGGCAGCGCACCCCACCTCTGTACCTGACGAACTGTGCAGAGCCCACACGTCCATTTCAGACAGCATACCCTAGGAACAGTGCCCCCCAGTGTATCTCCCTGCTGAGTTTCTCCAGGGATGTTTGTTACGAGATAAAGAAGTGAGACAGGTTGAGCTTAAGGGTGAGGGAAGAAGCTGGGGAGGAGTGGCAGGAACAGTGGAGAAGAAAGAGGCCTTGAGGAACCCAGGAAGAATCTGGGTTCTCTCTGCTCCCTGCCTCCCCGCATGCTTCCTATAGTCACCTGCTGTCTGCTCCACAGCTTCCCCTTTGCCCTCATGCTCCCCCATTTCCTTCCTCTCTCAGAGTCTCCCAAACTGAGGTCTGCAGCGTGCTGGCTGCTTCCGTAGCACTGGTCTCCTCCTCATTTCCTGCTACCTCTCCCGGTCCAGGCTCTACCAAAGCAAATGGATACAAGGAGGAGGAG